TTCTAGTAGATTAAAATTTTAAAATGTAGAAATTTTGGCTGTTTTACTATATTATTGGCTGTTTTTTTCTTATTATAGTAATGTCTCTTTTATTTGTTTCTTCATGTTAGAACATTATGAAAAAGCAAAGCTGTTTTTATTTATTTTCACAGTTCAGACAGATAGTGGTACCAAATGTATCTTATCTATAGTAATGAAACCTATTTTAAGTACTGAAGATGAGTTTCTGAGCTAGAGAAATACTTTTTATTTTGTTCACTGGAAGAGACTTCCCTGAGGTTGGAGATCTGTTCACTACCAGTGGGACTGTCTCTTCCAGCTGAATACTGGTCAGACAAGTTAAACAACACCCTTAAAATTGGGTGTGGACCATCTCTGGTCTCATGTCCTTGTCATCTTTAAGTTCTGCTGTGTCTTTTTTCTCCACCCTCAGTGAAGAAAGAATTAAGTTAGGGAACACTTAAATAACATTATAAGTCCATGGGGCTTGACAGGAGGGTTCCGTGGGTGTTCCATTCTTCTGTATGTGCTGATGTTATTTCAAAGCCGTCTTTGAGAGGTCTAATGGTCGCTGGGGAGGGGTTCTTGAGTAAGAGAAGAGAGCAAATATTAATTTTGTCATCAGGAAGGATGAGAAGGAGAATCCAAGGAACTACAGGCCAGTCAGCCTCACTTCAGTCCATGGGTAGGTTGCACACCAGCTGATCCTGGAAATGTGTTTCCAAACATGTGGTGGGCAGACAGGAAGGTGAGTGAGAGCAGTCAGAATGGTTTTATGAAGGGGATGTCACACTTCAGCAAGCTAATAATCCTTTACAATGAGGCGGCTAGCTTGGCAGATGAGCAGAGAGCAGTGGATGGTATTTATCTTGACCTCAGTAAGGCTTTTGGTGTTGTCTCCTATGACATTGTCATGGAAATGGTGTCAAGTATGCGTGGAGAAGCGAGCAATGAGGTGTTTCCAGAACTATGTGAATGGTCAGGCACAGGTCCTCAGGGGTGCAGTCAGTGGCACAAAGGCCATTTGGAAGAAGCTGTTCCAGTGTACCCCAAGGTTCACGGCTGGAGCCCCTGCTATTGAACATCTTCACTGAAGTCGTGGACAGTGGAGTAGAGTTTACCCTCAGCAAGATTGCAGATAATATAAGATAGAGAGAACTGGCTGATACGAACACTTGATGTTTGGTCTGCTGTGTGGAAGAATGTGGATAGAAGATCCTCATGAAGCAAAGGGAAAACGTGAATTTTCTGGAATAGCAGCTGCATATGCCAGCTACAGAGAAGGACCTGGGGGTCCTGTTGAACAGCAAGCCAACCATGAGCCAGCTATGTGTTCTTGTAAGGAGTAGAGTGAAAATCTCTCTGGGCAACATTAGGAAGAGTGTTGTGGGCAAGTCAAGGGGAGTTCAGCTTGCTTCTGTGTGCAGTCTTGGTGAGGCCACAGGTGGAGGACTGTGTCACCCTTCCAGGATGTGCAACACTGTTACAGGCTCCCTGATACAAGAAAGGGTGAGACTTGGTGAAGGGAGTTCAGTAAAGGACCACAAAGATGATAAGAGATCGCAGTATCTGACCAATGGACAGAGGCTGACACTTGGTTTGAAGTTCTAGGGAGGCAAAAGTTGGCCATTAGTCTTGGACTGAAGTTTAGGGAAGTACAAGTTGGCCATTAGTCTTTCAGAGTTATCTTTGGATGTTATATTTTAAATTTTCAGAAGGTCCTTTCCAAATTTAAAATTAGTAAGCCATTAAACTCACTTCTCATGTAGAACTGTGTGAAGATGCAAACGATGAGGGAGACTTTAGTTTTGTTAATACTGTTGATGGGACTAGAGACTCTAGGTACAAGAGAACTGAAATCCCAAATGCTTTGATTACATTTCACTTCTCTACCCTGCCATCTTGCAGTATTTCAGAAGGTGATTTCTTTTGCCCTGCCATCTATGGATTCTTCTGTCCACTTATGCAGACAGTGCAGAGATTGCCTCCAGCTCAATTCTCACAGTCACTTTTCCAATTCCTGTATTCTGCTCTACCAGAGATGCTCTGTGGCTGATTTTAGTGTTGTGTAAGTCTTAGAGGGAGATTTATTTTTTTTTTTCAATGCTGTAAAGGTTTAATGAATACAATTAAATCTAGAAGAAATTCCGGGTAAAGGATTGTCTTTAAAAGGGACCACAAGTGATCAGGTAAATTATGTTTTTGTGTGACCAGTTTATTCTAGACCTCAGTAGCCTTTGTTTTCATGCTACATTTAAGGCCAGATTAAATATTTTTGTCAAGGAATTTGCTATTCTACTGTGTTGTCAGAAGCAGTGCAGAAAATGTGAGAGGAGTTTCTGCTATGTGAAAGTAGTCTGCTTACACAGTAAATTTTCTACAGTTTGAGCTGGAGATGTTCTTATTTTATTTACAAAAAAAATTATTTCTTTTTGTTTTTAATTTTATTTGTACTTTATTTGTAATTTATTTTTAGTTTAGTTTATTTTTTAGTTTATTTTATTTTTTCATTTTAGTTTTAATTTTATTTATTTTATAGCTTTGTCTGTGCTGTTTTCAGTGTTTTACAGATGCTTGGCATGGGGGAAAAATAATCTAGGTGTGTCTTCATGTCGTATCCTTTTTCTTCATAATGTTTGGCAGCACAACTGCTTCCGTGTGTAGTGTGACGTAGTACACACACAATTCTGTCTGTAGTGTCTCTGCAGTTACCCTGTACTGAGTCTGGTATGTCACTGCAGTGTATTGCCACTTTTTTATGCTACACAGAGGTACAATCTAGAGTAACAGATGCCTCCTGGGGTTCTGCACTGTGCTTATCCTGTGGTGCTCTTGGGCTTCCCTAGTGGTTGGAAAGTAGTGCCATGTACTGCAGTCTGCCTGCTTGGTAGAATTGCCCCATGGTGAAGGACATGAAATCCATGACTAACACGGCTGTGGTGGCAGCTGTCCCAAATTTAGCACAAATGGTGTGAGAATGAGCAAGCATTTTGTTCTGCCTGTGTCCTCCACCTCCCCCCGGTAAATAAATAGAGGGAAAAAAACCCCAAGTGTTATAATAAGTTAATTTTTACTTCAGGAAATTACAGACCTTTATTAAAATGCGACAAATTGTGTTTGGTAAAGCCACGATGTACTCCATGACACTATTTCAGCTAGTTTGTTTATCTGGATCTCCTTGATATGTGTATTGTGAATAAGCTTTGCAAATGAAACTTAAATGTTAGTAAATTTGCTTGTCTCAGTAATAGCGGTTGCAGATAAGGTGGTAATTTTAATGTTAAGATGAAGTTTGAGGAAGCACTTTGCTAAATCTGGAAGCAGGCTAATCTGAAAGTTCATGAATAGAAGGGTGTTCTCTGCTTTTGTATTGTGTTAAATTCTACTTGTATTATTGCAGGAAAAACCCAGAATTTTACTTACATTTTAGTTGTAATGGGTGTTCTTTGTGATTAAAAAGTTAGTTTTTTAAATTGTATATTTACTTCAAATAGCAGGGGAGAGAGAAAAATGTTGCTGGAGAGACATCACATAATGGTTAGCGCTGAAAATAGGGAAAAAGTGGGTAAGCTTTTACAGTGTAAAAAGCTTTATGTATTTTTTACAGTGTATTTAACAGTGTATTAGCTTTGTGTAATGTGTCATCCTGCATGTTAAACTCTTCAGTTACAATTATTGGGGTCTGGTTTAGAAGTGTAATAGAAATCGACAGGTTCAAATATTTGTCTAAGTCTTAAAGCTATTTCAGAATATTGTTCTTTTGATCTTCAGGACCACGTGTCTGTTTACCTTCAATCTACTGTGATTGATAGCCTGTGATTCTGGTGGTGTTTTGGATTAACATATCTCCTTTCTTGTTGAAACTTTCTCCTTTACATGTTCATAACCACTTTTAAATACATCTTAGGTCTTCATTTTGTGAGGCAAAGTAACCAGATAGTTTCCTTAGACTTTTCATGTCCCTGATCACTGAAATAGTTTGTTATTGCACCAACTAAAATCTTGAATCCTTGTGTTGTTGTTCTTAAGTGTGATTCACTTGTTCTATGTGAATTTAAAAAGAAAAACGTAGTAGTGTGAGAAAAATTGACTCTAGTCTTTAATGTTTGATTTCTTCATTTAATTTGGTAAGCACAAGCTAAACCAATGGTACTTGTTTTAGCTTAATTTTTGTTGGTTTTGCAGATTGGGGTGTTGACCCTAGGTGTTGTTTCTTAGCCTTTTCCCAGAAGTCTTGACTCCTGGTTCATGCAGTATCTTTCTGATTCCCTTTTCATAGCATGTTACTTATTTTTGTAAAATTTGACTATACATCAATTTTTCCCAGATGCTATGCAGATAACACAAATTCGTTCAGAATACAGGGTTTCCTACTGGTTTACAACTGGTGAGAGCTAGTTTCTGTCACAAAAGAACCTTGTTGATTCAATCATAAAAAAAAGCCCAGCCCAATCTTTTCTTTATGTTGGTTGAGTGCATTTGGTGCAGTGTTCTTATTTCAGCTGCAAATGTGGCTCAAAGTAGATGACTGCGTAATGTTTATGACAAATATCTTCACTGTACATAATCTGGAACCAACTGTTCATTATTCCTTGGCAGCCACTACCTTATTATTGAAGCTCGTACTTCACAAAACTTCAGAAGTAAATTTTATTTAATTGAATATTGGATTAATTACTCCATGTTACTTAAAGCAAAATTCTTTACAGACTTCTTTCATATCCTCCCCTCAAGATGTAAAATTTAAGAACAGGAGTACTTCCTTTGCACTAAACTCTTCTATTATCCACAGCACAGAAACACATTACTTTTGTCTAAATTTATGGGCTATAGAAGACTTTTGTTACTGAGGTTACTACACATTACTTGAATTGGTCACAAGAGGCTATTGCTGAGATGAGACAATAGTTTGATGAGCCTGACTAAAGACTTTTAAATGTATTTGAGTGTTAATAGTATGAGGATAGCAGTATTTCAGTATCTTTTTCTTACCTTTCTAGAATTGTGCAGCTCTGCTTCAGTAGCTGAGAGTCTGAGCCAAGTCAGCTTTTGCCACAGTTCAGTTGAAGAATGGCAGATCTGTGCTAATAGGGAATGGTGGCTTAAAAATTCATGATAAATTTTGGGCCTGCTCTTTTGTTACTAGGTGAGTTTCTGAAAGCCCTGGAATTGTATTTGTCTTTGTGGTGTTCACCTCACTAAGTTTACTTCTGATAGCTGTGTTAATGCTGGGAGTGCATCAGTTGCTTTATTAGTGTTACTGAACAGTGTGTGGTGTGTACGCAAGAGAAAACTTGCTAGTAGTAGATATGTAGTTTCATGTCAGTGCAATAAAAGCAAGTTTTTTGCTACTGATGTTCATTCTATTCAAATACTTTAAATGTTTTAATTTAATTTAAAAGTAGTAGATAGTGTATATCTAAAGGCTGCAAATGCTTTTGTGGACACAGAATGCAGATGCATGTCTGACTCTTGGGGATAGCTTAGGTACGGGACCTGAATAGCAGGGAAAGAAGGTCGAAAGAACCTTTTTGGTGTTAGAATGTGTTGCAGTATAATTTGCTCGTTGTTGGTCTAGCTTAAGTTGGAAAACAAGCAAGAAACACACTAGTGTTGGCAGCCAAGCTGATCACAAAGGGTTTAAGCTTAGTAAAGCCTGCCTGTGGCAGTAGAGGTGCCTTGCTGACATCCCATTCTTATGTTTGTGACCTGTTTTCAGTTTGGACCTTCCTGAGAAGGAAGAATATCCTAGAGCTATCAAAATATGTGTCAGATATTTGAACAGAGATCATGCTTATAATAGTTTTTTTTTTTTTTTTAATATATATAGGGCAAACTTGTTGGCAACATCAGAGAGCTAGCAGCTGTAAGAATGTTTATGAAACCTGATAAAATATGGAACCAGTAACTTTAAGCTGGGTAGGTTCTGTCCTCTTAATACAGTTTTAAAATATCTTTTCCTAAACTGCCCTTTGTTTCCCTGTTTAATTATGGCTGGGATGTTTGTGCCTGTTCAAAGTTAGAAAGGTTTAATCATGAAAGAACTCTCTGTTCCCATGTCTAAGTGCTAGACCAGGCATACGTACAATTAGGTGAAAGAAAATGTTTTCTTGACTTTGGTGTGGAGTATCCACAGGAGTTGTTTTTCATGTTAATGCTTAACTGCAAACCTCTGAGTTTGGTCAGGTAGTGTTCTGGAAATATATGTCTGTGCTTTTTTTCTTGCTGTTTCTTTGTTAAAACTATTTGCTATTTGGAAGAATTAGCCCTAAAAAGTTTATATTTTATGGGTTTATTGAAATCTATGTATAAAACAGAATATATATGTATTCTGTTGCTGACTTGGCTCTGAGTATTTTGTAGTTTTGGCCCAGGTCTCTGTCTTTACCATTTAAGTTTATTTCTTTCTAAGAAAAGGACTGACTCATCTGACAGAGCAGCACTATGAAAATTTTTTCAGAGCTTTTTAAGCTGAGAACATTAGGAAGACTTGAATCTGCTTCTAGAAAAATTTTTGCATGAAGAAATAGGCAGCCAGTGTCAGTGAGCTGTAGGAAAAGGTCTTTTTGCAAAATACCTTTTCCAGTCCTTGGATACTTGGTGATCACCGAGTCTTTTGTGCAAAGGATAAAGGGTAAGTATATTAGTGAGTTAATAACAAACTCTTCTCGTGGCAGTTGCATAAACAATGTTAGGAAGCTTGACTAGTTTTTTAAAAACAGTAATATAAATCTATTAAGTTACATTGTTAGTGGATTTTCTCTCCTGTAAGTAATAGCTGATGTACCAATAACTTGGTGATACTTTGTGGAATCTTTATGTTCTTACTTAGTATAAACATAATCAAACTCATTATTTTTCAGACTGTAAGTGCCTCAGTCTGAAGACTTTGTTGTTGTTGTGTCAATCTTTCAGTACTGAAAATCTGTCTTGATAATTTCTGAAGATATCATGATTCTTCTGCTTGAAGATGAGAACTGTGTCCAAGTGAAGGGGAATAAACTTTTTTCTTGCTGGAATCTGCTCAGATTTGTTGTTTCTTAATTTAACATCTCTTGGTTTGTTTGTAAAAGTGTACCCTTTTGTATACTGTTGCTGAATGGGATATATCAGTAAATATGAACATGGTTCCTTTTAGAAAGAGAAGCCATTTCTCTGATGGTTCATTGACTCCAGAATTTTGTTCATTTGTATTTTACTAGTTTGATATAACTGGAAATACTTAGAAAATTTCTCTGGATTTTTTGTTTAAATGTTTGGTGTAGGAGTGAGTTGAATGATTTCAGCAGAGTAATTTGAAGTTAGTTATTTGGGTGAGACATTCCTTTAACCTTGTCTCTATTTAACTGTAGTAATTGTACGTCCTACCTTACAGTTTAATGATGGTATTGGATGTACCCACAAACTTAGATATGAGCTCATGTCATTAAAAACAACCAGATGCTCAACTAAGTACAGTTTTACACTAAGTTAAATCTACCAAATCTGTTAGACTTCCTTTTAGGAACTGGAACAGTCTTGTCTGTTGATGGATATCTGCAGTAGCCTGCAATATTCTGGTTCAGGCCAGAGAACAACCATAATTATGAGTTACCAAGCTCAGATTCCACATCTCTTACTAATACATTACAGCAGCTGTAGATTAAAGTGAATTACATCTGTGCTCAATAGCAGATTTGTACTCTGCTGTGCAGAGATGTGGAATTCACGTTTATTTGGGCTTCCCTGTAGAATGTGTGTAGGTGTTTTTTATGTTTTCATGAGCTGGATTTATAATAGCTTGTATATCATACTTAAAAAATGTTTGAGTCCTTGACCATTTTGCCGTGACTAGCTGCAGAGCATGATTTGGTTGCCCTAGTATGATTCAGGAAGTGTTTAATCCATTTCTTTCCTGTCTGTGCTACAGTTCACCTTCAGGTAATATAGTTCACATTATCTTGTGTTCTTTTGCTTATTGAGAAATATTTTCTTATCTGTGAGAAGAGTGTAGGGTAGAAAAAGTATTTGTGGGTTTTTATCATAAACCATTACATTCTTTGGCCCATTTTCAAACTAGAGAATTTTACTAGATTTTACTGGACACTCTGGACATGTACACTCTGTTTCCATTGAAGCTAGACACATTGTGACGTTTGTGATGAGCCCAAGTATGTAGGTTTTTTGTAAGGAACTTTCAAGTGGCCGCTGAGACTAACTGTTAGGGATTAATTAAAAAAATCAGCTTCTAGGAAGCTAATAAAATAGCTTGCCAACTCCCTTCTAGATAGTACCAGAATGTATTTCAGCAAGCTAGTTTTGCCATAGTGTTCTGGATCAGACCTTACATAAGATGCTTCATCCCATTTATAGGGGGGAATAAAGAAAGAAATGTTACATTTATATTTTCATAATTTCTGTGATATATTTGATTTATGTGACACTTGAGTAATAAAAATGCAGATTTGATGCTGTAAATTATATGATGATAGTTAGATTCTAATTTAGATCTGTGAGGAAAATAATATGGGAAAATAATATGGGAAAACAGAAATACTGAAAAAGAGACAAGAAGTGTAATCCCCTTGTAACATAAGCATCTGAAAGGACTGATTTATTTTCTTCTGATTATAGGGACTTGCCATGAGGTGCTAAGCCTTTTTTCATTGATTCGGAGAGACTGGACCTAAATGGCGCAGCATGACTTTGCTCCAGCCTGGCTTAATTTTCCTACTCCACCATCATCAACAAAGGTATGTTTTGTATTGTTGTTTTGAAAAGGCACTCTCATTATTATGGAAGTCTAAATCTCATAATCTCAATCACAGTAAAAATGCCAATCTCTTCATGAATACTGTGATGACAGATGACTCCAGTAGAGTTTTTTGCTTGAGCAGCTTAGTTCATGAAGGGAAGCACATACCTGGCCTTGACTGTGGTTGGTTTAAAATTGCCTTCCTCAGGTGTTTAAAATGAATTATTGTGTTCCATGCTAGAAGTACCAAGACAGAGCATGTACTTGGTGTTCTTGCTTCTGATTTTTAATTGTGTCCTGTAAAATTTAAAGGAGTATTATTCTGTCATCCAAGTGATTAAAGCTATGCTTTTTTAGACTTTCTGAAATGGCTCGGCAGTTGATGGTGGAATGCTTGTTGCTGCTGGTGGAGTGGTGGTACTTTCATACTGTTAGGTATCTTCACTCTGAGTGTTTCATTTAGACTAATGTTGCTTTATGTAATGGGACAGCTTGGAAATGGGAAATAATAATCTCTTTTAATTGTTAGAATTAGTAAATATTCCTGGAAATCTTGAGTATGTCTACATCAGAAATGTTTTTTCTACTCTTTCTTAATATGTGCACATGCAGAAGCGTACTCAGCAGTGGATATTAAAACTCCTGTTACCTGCTTCGCTATTTGTCGACCTGTCTTCATTATAATAGTTTGAATTCAATATCTATATCTGCTGCTATGAGAATTGCTTTGTTTTCTTTAATATATGAACTTTGTGCAGTCTTTAATCTCCATGGAAAATACTTATACTTGAGAAACTTATGGCAGTAGGCTTGTGGTATTATTAAATGCACAGATAGATGGCAGTGTTAATTGTGTTCCTAATGCTTTGATTCTCTATGTCTACACAACCATAAACACATTTTTTTTGTAGTCAGGTCATTGAAAGTCCTTATTTATATCACTCTGTTTATGTCTGTTCTACCCTGACCTAGCTAGATGGTTTGTTTAGTATAGTCTGTTTCTGGGAACATAAAGCCTCTCTGTTACATATGATACATAGTGTCTGAAAATCCAAATTAAGAAGGAGTCTCTTTGTTTTTATTCTCTATGATTTCTGATGCATTCAACTCTTTTGATCTGATTTTTTCAATGTAATATGTTTTAAATTGGAAAAGTATTTGGAGCTTAGTTGATATGGTGTCACAATTGCAAAACAATCTTCACTACGTATTTAGAGAGTCTGCTGCAAGAGCTTTACCTGCATGCTTTATGTGCCAATATAGCAGGATAACAAGTTCCAGAAGTACTCTAGCAGCACTAGAATGTATTTGAGGTATGGGTTGTATTTGTCACCTCATTTCTAAATTGTCTGACATTTTGTTGCAAGTGTATTTTTCCTGTTCTCTTCCATGATTATTTGCCTTATGTAGTTTACTTAGATTTTTTTCTCTTTCAAAAACTCCATGTTGTATGTCATGTTACAACTCCATGTTATTACTCTGTTGTAATATTTGTGTCCCATTGTTGGAATGCACCTTATTTCCCTGTATTACCTGCTCCCTCAATGATGAGCATTCTGTGATACACAGCACATTTGGATTTTAAGTGCTTGAAAAGTCTGTTTATAGTTCTTAGGTTACAGAATAAGACTTGTGATTCCTCCACAAGACAGGTCACAAGTGTTGTGGCTTCCTGTCTCCTCTATTTCCTAAAATAGACTTGTTTTCTGCTGTATATCAAAAAAGCAGAAGAGAACAGCAGGTAAGAAGGATGGAGATGAAGAGGAAGGGGTGAGGAAGGCAAGGTGTCTCATGTTTCATGCAGAATGGAGCTGGTGTGAGGTTATGGTGTCAACAACATTTAGACATTTTAAACATTGAAGGAGAAACTGAGTTCTGCTTGATCAGTTTTTATATTCCTGAAGGGTAATCACTTTCAGGGATTACACCTACAGGACCCTGGTTTTCCCCCTGAGCCCTTGGTAGCTGACATGTTTTTCCTTACATAGCTCAAGGCTGGCATTGTAGAAACCCGCTACCAGGAAACTGTGATTGTGAATGAGCTTTTTAGTGTGACATACAGATTGTAGCTTGATTGAAATCCATCTCATATATTGCTGCTGATTTCCATTTAACAGCAAGCTTTTCTCATCTCTCTGTCAACTACACAGCAAAATCCACCTAAATAGGTGTGTATCTGTCACTCAGTGGGTTTTGTTCAGGTCTGGAGCTAATGTGTTTGTGTCAGTGCAGTATTGCAGATGGGCAGGTGGAATGGGAAGGTGTTGTGAACAGTGAGACCATTTTGGGACATGGACAGAACTTTTAAGGAAGTATTGCTGTGAAAAGGGTATGGGAACATTGCAGATGGATAAAGTCAATTTTACAAATTCACTTTTACTTCTTGTTAAGCAGTTAGACTTCCTATTTTTCTTAAAATTTATGTTATTTCTATCCCTTTTTCTTTATTGACTGAACCGAGTCAGATAATTTCTCAACTTACAGAAGTTGCCCATAAATTTCCTTTTGATTACAAAACTTACTGGCATATCTGCCTCAGGAGACTTCATAGGCAGGTATCTCCATCATGTGGGGAAAACGCAAACTGCATGATCTTTGCATACTGTTCAGAAGCGTCAGATTCATTATAGCATGTACAACTCAAGCACAATATATAAAATGCTGTCGTTGTTGTACGTAAGTGAACACATGAAGTGTCTTCTAAAATTTCACCTGAGATTGGCAGATCTAGCGCTTTCTGAAATTTTTGGCAGCTCAGTCAAAATCTGTTTAAGAATTTTCTTTCACTTAAATATCTAGATTAATTGGGTAATTTTTGAAGTACTTTTATTTTAACAATTTTTTGCAGTCTTTGATTTTGCTCTCTCCAAGGAGAGTTTGTCAAGTAATTCATGTCCCAGGTCTCAGATTGAGAGGGTAGTCCCTGTACATTTGACTTCTAAAAATTGACAATCTAAAAATACCTGCTTTGATTTTTAAATATCTACTTATTTGAGTTTGAATTTTAAGCAGTGAATATTGAACAGCACCTTGAGCTCTACAGGGGCATTTTCCATAGAACTTTGGGGATCTTTTTTTGTGTGTGTGGGTTAGGTGGGAAGAAGGAAGTAATTTTAAAGGTACACCCAGAGAGAAGTTATAAGGAAGATGTGGGTTGTGTCAGGAGAGATGTTTTTTGGTTTAATCCCTTTAGGTATGAATTCTAGTCAGGATGTGGTTTGATTTCTTGGTGCTATTCTCAAGATAAGATTTTAGTTTACTGCTTCATACTGATATATTAAAGATTTATTTCTTTAAAATTTCTCTAATGTGTGCTTATGTACTGAAAATTTGAAGTATCTTTGTGAATATGGACATTTCTGATTCTAGATTTTATTAGTATTTCGTAACTGCTTGTACTTGCCTTTTTAAGTTGCAATGACAAGATTAATGATTTAGGCTTTTTTTGGGTATAGCTGCCTGGGGTGGAAGGGATTCTTTGCTTTCTATAGAATGCCTGTTTGTAGTCTCTGAAAATCCAGATTAAGATCCCAGACTTCTTCTCAGCCTTCCAAATTGTGATCTTTTGTCCTTTCTTATCTTCTAAAAAAATTTTTCTTCTGCTGCAACACATGTCACTTGAGCTCTGTTTTGCTGCCAGAACAAATTAGACACTTCCTACCTTGTGTCGCAGGCATGTAACTTAAGGGTTGTTTCAGTGTCCTGGAGCAGAAGATGCAGCTCCCGCTTTGTTAGCCTGAGAGATGGTGACACAGCTCTGCATGTGAGGACTGCTGCATTGTCTGTCCTTCAAAGCTCTTTTAAGAATGAATTATATATACCATGAAGAATGTGCATGTTACAGTTCTGATGATTAAGTTGTTATTGAACAGATCTCAGGTCTACCACTTATGCTTTTCAGGTCACTTTGCAGTCATCACTGAATTTTGAGAAACATTCTGAAAATTTTTCATGGACAGAGAATCGTTATGAAGCAAATCGCAGAAGACACAATTCTTCGGAAGGGTTGGATCCTAACACTGGAAGGCCAAATGGAGGTATAATTTATGGAACACTGTGAATATGTTTGTGTCATTTCTTTGTAGCACTAGCTAGAAAGGAAGTCTGATGATGATAGCTCATGTGTGCTAAATTCTTTTTCTGCAGTGAAAGAGTGGTAATGGAAAGACACATCTGGGAGAGGATGTGAGCACTAAGGGTTGGTTAAAGTAATGTGATGCCAGGAGTATTTCTCTCTTGAGTAGAATAAGAGTGTTGAGTTAATACTCTAGCCAACAGCATGTAAATGAGAAAAAGAGGTTGACTTGTTGTAGCATTGGCTGGCTATTTTCTCTCTGGCACTGTTTTGTGAGATCCTTCCCTGCTGTTTATGTGAATGAAAACTTGTTTCCTATGCTGCCGTATCCCAGTGTATAGAGTTTGTGATTTAACGTTTTAAAAAATTCTGCAGAGTAAAATATTATTTTTAAATTGTTTGTAATTACATTTCTTTAAAATTTAAAAATTCAAGGGCATTTTGGGCGAAAAGAGAGGAATGGTTGGCGTTCACAAGGCAGAAATGGTCCAGAAAATATAAACCAGCGTGGAGGGTACCATGGTGGAGGTTCCCGTACTCGTAGCAGCACCTTCCATTGTGGAAAAGGCCAGGGACTGCATGAAAACAGTGTACTTGATAATGAAACCCACAAAAAGGAAGACAAAGAAGTACCCAACCAGTTTGAGGCTGAGGACTTTGTAAGTAAATTGTAATTACAATTAAAAAGGTTTCATTTTGTCTGCATTTTTTCCATTACAAGTCACTTCATGAGATTTCACCAGTTTCAGATCATCATGTGAGGAATTTCCTGTAGGTAAGGGAGTGTTAGTAACATGTCCAATAACTTGTTTCTCATTTTATATCCATATTTTTCACTATATGTTTATTATTGTTACTTGTGTATTTAAGTGAAACTACAGTTGGATTCCCATCTGCTGTGGTATGTGTATGTATTAAATTCAACACAGTTACCTTATTGGAAATAGTAACAAAGTAGTTTTCATACCTGTGGCCTTCTGAGCTCTCATGCTTTAACCTGCAGCTAGGATGTAAGGGGAAGGGTGATGTTAGTCTTTGAAGGAACATACATTGCTGTTTTTTTGCTTCCTCTGCTGCTGTCATGTAATGGCACTGGCTGCTGCCTGAGATATTTTGTTGGAGAAGAGAAACAAGTGAGCATTGTCCTGTTTGGTTCATGGGGGAGGTGTTTAGTTTGTCAGCAGAGGTCATGCTGCTGGTGTTATTGTGGTTCTTTAGTTCTTTCATCCTACAATTCAAGGGTTACTTTTTTAATAATGACAAAACTTTCTTTCAGCCATCTTTAAACCCTGAATATGAGAGGGAACCAAACCAGAATAAATCTCTAGCTGCAGGTGTGTGGGGTGAGTATTTTTGATGTTTTTAAATGCAAAAACGTAGCAGAGATCTGAAGTTGTTTTATTTGAAACATGAGCCTCTTTTTAAAATTATAAAGGTAGAGATTGAGAAGACTTCAATATTATTACAAGGTAGGTATCTTTTTGTTAAAGGATAACACTTCCATATGAGTATCAGTCAGCTAGTCTGTAGATGCTGCCACAACTAATACACTTTCCCAGAACAAGTATACATCTTTTTTTGTAAAGATGTCAAGAAATCTTCACCTTTATTTTCAAGAGGAAGTGCAATGAGGATTGGTCCCACAAATTAGTGGTATTGATTGCTAGCTGAAGGCTTTACAAAATATGTTGGAAGAATTTGGAGAGAAACCTGGGAGAACTGGAAGAGTAGGTTAGCTTGCAGAGATTTAAGGTCTCTTTCTGGAAGCAAATGTCTTATGCTGTTGGTTGTGTTTATGTATTATGTGTATGACAAATAGAATCCTGAGCATGGGCATTGAGCAGAGCTGTAGTTGGGATTGTTTTCTCATCCTCACCTGATTATGTTTGGCTAAGACTTTACAATGCTAATGGGCTTTACATAGTAAATTGTTTACTCCTAAGAAGGTGGTAGCTTTACATGGCAGGTGTTTTAAAGTAAATGTACTCAAAATAAGGACATTTCTCTTTATTTAAAAAAAATTAAACATGAAAACTTTTGCTTTCTACTTAAACTACTGCTAATACTGAGATTTTAAAGGTATTTTAATTTGCTGATTCTTTTTGTCATGCATAACCAGTATTTTTTACGCACTAAAGTAATATTAGATATAGGCCAACTCCTCAGTATAAATATCTAATTGCTGTAAAACTTTGCAGCCTCATAAATAAGTGGACAGCTTTCTGATTTTGTGTTAATCTATCTTTCAATAAAAGAGTTGTGTTTTGTTATTGAAAAACAGAAATTAAGGCTGTTATTATTCCCTTCAGAAGGAAAAAATACTCAGGATAGAGAAATGTTACAATCCCTTCTAATATCTGTTAAAAATGTAGGCATCTCTTAGATTCCATTTTACTTTGCGTGTATGTGATGGGAGCCTGTAAATATTATGAAAAATGTTGTCATGAGGTTTAATGAGAATGAAGCTTACAGTTATGGTAACTATTTTGCAGCATCTACCTGCTAAACAAGCAAAAGTCTTGTATTCCTTTAAGATAGGGTTTTTTTTTTTTTAAACAGAGGCTATAATGACTGTGTGAAGTAGAATTGCTTGCAGGGAGAGGAGATAATCCTTGAAAAGGCTCTTAATGTACAAAATATATATTTTTATATATATAATATATAAATATATATATATAAAATATATATATAAGGCATATACAAAATATAGATTTTTTTACTTTTTGAAAATTTTAGAACTCTTTTTAATGGATGTTCCTTAACACTGCTAAATGGCAGTTTCTCTAGTTTGATGGCTGTGTGTCTCCTAATTTGTTCTCCAATGAACATGGAAATTTTGTCCTGTTATATCCATCTGAAGCATGGAGCTAGAGAAACTGTCATTGCCATGGTCTAATGTGTAGTGCACATCCTGTCTCATGTTTATAGAACCTCAGTGCAGAGCTCTAAACTGAGCTATAACTAATTATCCTTTAGGAAATCTTAAGTGGAATTTGAAAGCCATAAACTCTTTCGAAGTTTGAGTAACTATCAAGAACTAACAGTATTTTGATTGTAGAATTGCTATGCAGCAGTCTCTAGAAGTGTGTAGCAGGCTTCTTTGAAGAATGTATATTCTTTTAAAAAGTGCAATTCCTGCATTGCCAAGTGAAACATATTTAAAAATTACGACTGTAAAAAACGGAACAGAACCTGTGTTTTTCCAGTTTTGCACAGTATGTTATTTGTGGAACTAATAGTGATTTAAGTTCCTGACTTATGCCTGTTTGCTCTGGATCATATGGCTGCCAGTATCTTATGAACTAAAAACTAGTGAGTTGTGTACACAGGTACACACACACACACACATCTATATACATACTTCTTTTTTTCTTCCAGAGTACCCTTTAAATCCTAAATCTAGATCTCAGAGAATGCTGGTCATTAAAAAAGGCAGTACAAAAGAGCTGCGGATATCTGGATTCCCAGTAGTGGGAAGTGTTCACTCACAGCCAGTAAGGAATGGAACTGGCACAAGTGTTTTTAAAGGATTAGTCCCCAAACCTGTCACTCCATCTGCAAAGGTGAGTATTGGATACCAGTGTTATGAAAACATGCCTAAAAAAATCATGCTGTAATTCTGAATGTGTTTATTTCATCCCTGAGAATATTGTTCCTAGATTATAATGTATTCAACACTTGCAAAATGCAACACACACAAAAAATGAATAGAAACAACTTTTTTGCATTTTTCTTTTTAAATTATAATTTAGTCTCTCTTTGCTTCTCATCTACTGCTTTTGAGAAGTGCAGCAGCTGTACAAATGAGAGTAAAAATGGTATTTCAAACTTACGTAATAGCAGTCCCTTTTGTATGTATGATTTCAACAGATCAAAATTAGATATGTTGTGGAAAGGTATAGTCAGCATAATAATACCATCGGAATTTATCCCAGTTAGACATGACATTATAACTTAGCAGTGTCATTCTGGTCCCTTTCCAAATGCAACTTTCCATATGCATAATCACAGACTATTCTGAGTTGGAAGGGATCCACAAGAATCACCAAGTCCAGCTCTTAAGTGAATGGTCCATATGGACTTAAAAGCCATGACTGGCATTGTTACCAGGCTATATCCTGGGCTGAGCTATTCTCACTGGCTTCATCTCTAGTTTTTTGTTTCAGGAATTTTTCTGTGCTCTTGAGAGCATATGTTAGATTAGTTCTTAACTCTGTAACATTTTGAATCTAAAATAATGCTATTGGAAGTCCCATATTTAATTTCCACTAGCTCAAATATGAGGATCTTAATTGTTTTGAAATTTTAGTTTTTATATAAACAGCGTGAACAGTATTTATGAGCAGATGAATTGCTCATAAACAGCCTCTTTTCCACAAGAAAACAGATGTTTGCAATACATTAAGGTTGCAGTTATGATTTGCTTTTGCTCAATCATTTTTATGAGGATTCTTGAAAAGAATCCTTCTGTAGTTAATGACTCTTTACATCTCTGTTTATTCTTCTGTCTAGCCCACACAGTGGAAAAGCCAATCAAAAGAAAACAAACTTGGGAATGCATTTCCTCATGAATCTGCATATGGTGTTGGTAGTTTCAGTCCTTTCAAATCAACTGTCAAGGCATTTGCTGTAACACAAAATTCAGTGAAAGAGGTAAACTAGTAGCTGTAGTTAAATTTATAAAACATTTAATATGCTTAAGTGAGGATGGGCAGTAAATTTTATACAGAATTGTATTAAATATTTTTTTTTGGAACTTAATGTGCGGGAAAGGTGGAATGCACATCACCAGCCTTAAAGTACTGCAGTTTCCTTTGTAGGTTTGATTTAGAATAAAAACCCACATTAGAAAATACAGCCTGATACATTTATACTTCAAAACTGCTAAAGGTATTACATGTTTCAGAAGGCTCACTGTTCACTTAGCAGTGCTCCATAAACCGGCATCTCTGGGTTTACATCTACAAACTGTATATACCAAAATACAGATATTCCCTCTGCTTTTGACTCTGAATACAGGTGAAACCTGAAAGAACAGATACCTCTGTCTTTAATTAAAATTTTTCTGCATGAACATGCTTCTAACATAATTTCTTTTTCTGACTTCCTTCACTAGTGTAATCGGTCAAATTCTTCATCCCCTGTTGACAAATCTGGTCAGCTTCGTTTAACAAAATTGACAAGAATGCGGACTGATAAGAAAAGTGAATTTTTGAAAACATTGAGAAGAGATAGAGTGAAAGAGGAACATGAAGATGAGAATCGTGATGGGCAAGAGAAGGTACTTTTGTTCATACTTACTGTAGGTCCAATAGGTTTCAGACAAATTATAAACTACTTATTATTTTGCTGTAAATAGCTGTTAAGTAATGGTCTTGGATCCATAAATGAAGGAAAAGAATTACCTTTTGATGAATTTGAAAACATTGTTCCAAGTACTACTCTTCCTCCAGTGTTGCTTTGTAGTTTCTTTTTGTCTTTCTGCGGTATATGTTAGTGCACGTTCATGACTTAAGTACTTGTGTGTCTTTAGCAACAATAAAAAGGATAAATTAGGCTTAGTAAACAAACTTAATCATACATCAGTGTATGTTGGAAAAGACCTTTAAGATCGAGTCCAGCCATTAACAGTACTATCAAGTCTGCAAGTAAACCATGTATTCAAGTGTCACATCTAAATGGCTTTTAAATACCTCCAGGGATGGTGACTTAGCCACATCACTGGACAACCCATTCCAGTGCTTGACTATCCTTTCTGTGGTAGATAGTCTTCCTGGGGTCTAACCTGAATCTCCCCTGACACAACTTGAGGCCGTTTCTTGTGTCCTGTCATGGTGTTGGCCAATCCCCACCTGGCCACAGCCTCCTTTCCAGCACTTGTAGGCAGTGATAAGGTCACCCCTGAGCCTCTCCAGGATAAAGACCGCCAGCTCCCTCAGCTGCTCCTCACAGGACTTGTGCTCCAGCCCCAGCCCCCCTGCCCTTCTCTGCACTCTCTCCAGCTCCTCAGTGTCTTTCCTGCAGTGAGGGCCCAGCACTGGACACAGCACTGGAGCTGTGGCCTCACCAGTGCCCAGCACAGGGGACAAGCCCTGCCCTGGCCCTGCTGCCACACCATTGCTGATCCAGGCCAGGATGCCATTGGCCTTCTTGGCCACCTGGGCACTCCCTGGCTCATGTTCAGCTGCTGTCAGCAGCACCCAAGGGTCCTTCCCAGCCACTCTGTCCCAGCCTGTGGCACTGCCTGTGGCTGTTGTGACCCAAGGGCAGGACCCAGCACTTGGCCTTGTTGAACCTCACACCATTGGCCTTGGCCTGTTTATCCATCCTGTCCAGACCCCTCTGCAGAGCCTTCCTGTCCTCCAGCAGATCAGAATTCCTACCCATTTTGGTGTCACCTGTAAACTGACTGAGGTGCACTTGTCAAATCATTGATAAAGTGGTCAGTACTGAGCCCTGGGGAGCCCCACCCATGAGCGGCCACCAGCTGGATGTAGCTCCACTCACCACCACCCACTGGGCCCAGCCATCCAGGCAGATTTTACCCAGTGAAGAGTGCCATTGTCCAGGCCATGGGCTGCCAGCTTCTGCAGAATTCTCTGGGAAACTGTGTCAAAGAAAGGCTTTATTGAAGTTCAAGCACAAAACATCCACAACCTTTTCTTCATCCAATAAATAGCCACCTGGTCATAGTAGATCAGGTTGGCCAAGCAGGACCTGTCTTTCCCAAACCTGTGCTTGCTGGGCCTGATCCCCTGGTTGTCCTGCATGTGCTGTGTGATGGCACTCACAGTGATCTGTCCCATGACCTTCCTTGGTACCATGGCGAGTGACATGCCTGTAGTTCCCTGGAATCTCCTTTGAATACTTTTTGCAAGTGAGCATCATATTTTCCAGCCTCCAGTTGCCTGGGACCTCTCTGGTAATCCCGGGCTGCTGGTGAGTGATGGAAAGTAGCTCACTGAGCTACCAGGTCCCTCTGTACTCTTGTGTGAATCCCAGCTATTCCCAACAGACTTGTGGAGGGCAGTGTTTCATACCCTGGCTGCTAGTTATCCTACAAAACAAAAATGTTTGTTCTGCTTCTAAAAACCATTTCCTTTCTAATTAGTGTTTAGTTAGGCAGCAGTTCTGTATGCTGGGTCTAATTGTAGAAGCAACAACTCAATATGTGCATAAACCACTGGTTCTAACTAACTGAGAACTTGAAGGCCTATAATGGCTGTGTATAGTACGCATCGGGTTTCTTTCAGTCTGAATTGATTTATGCGGTGTTCGATTGATACTAGAGAATATTTGTGTCAAATGCTACCAGCCACCAAGTTATCATACAAGTTATCCTAGTCCAAGTGAAGATAAGTATTTGATTATTCAGAATGAGGTGATTACAAACCTGTTTGCTGTAAATGAGTGGCTTGAAATGTCTTATTAAAACAAAAAATCCCATGAATTAGAAATCAGCCAGATAAACAAGTGATTTTGATGAAGTGATATTAGGCTTCTGAGATAGTAAAAAGGAAACAGTACCAGTGTACATTGCTCATAAAAGTGCGATTGACTTTTCTGACCCTGATCCTATTTCAGGCAAAATGCAGTTTGGGACTGCATAACTTAGCTGGGATTGTAATGGGACTGTATAACTTAGCTGTATGTGTGAGCTAAGAAAAGCCTGCATCTTTTCCTTAGGTATTCTGTGACTGAGATGGATATATCAGATGGATATATCAATATCTGCCCTGAGATGGATATTGGGGATAGCTTTGTTCATGTGTTCAGGAAATACACAAAGATTTTGATTCAAGATTAGAAAGATCATCTAGAGATTCTGAATTATGAAATAATGAGGCAAATTGTACTCAGCAGCTGAATCACACTTGGAAGAAGCTGTTTTACCCTCTATATTAGAACTGCTTAGTAAATTTTAAATTTTTTCTTGGTATTATGTGACATATTCTTCAGGCATATAATGTAACAGCTGAATGTATGTTTACTGGGACGTGTTCTTAACAATATCTTGCTGACTGTTCTAATATTTCTGAGAGCAGACAACTTGTGAGTGGGAGGGAAATGGTGGTGTTGATCCTGTGCTCTGAAGTATGATTTCTTACAGGTGCACAAGATTGCATGATTTCCTCCTGCTATGGGTAACGCTGGTATATGCCCAGTTTAGGGATTTTGTTATTGAGAAGGTGTTAACTGATCATGATTGTACTCTTCTTTGGTTTTGCAGTTGGTAAGACTTCTGAGGCTATTTGGCTCATTCATAAATATGAATTACAGGTTGCTGAGTAGAGTAGAAAGAAATACCTCATGTTTATAGACTAAAGACCTTTTAATCTTTGAGTGAACCTGAACAGTCAGCTTTGTAAATAAATTTTCTTCCTGATTTGTATTTAGTGTCTAGTAATTTACAGTTGCTTTTCACAACAGCCTGAGGTTAACAGCTGGGGTTAAGTGCATATGTGTAAGTGAGCTTGTCTGAATTTAAAGAGCAGTATGCAGTCTTTCTGAATTCATGGCAGAGAATTTGCTATTTGAGATATGGGTATTGTGACCTGTCCCTTAGACAAAGCAAACTTCAGAACTCATATACTTTCAGACTTCTTCTGCCACATACAGCTCTGATATTTAATTAGGAACAATACAAATTCAACAGCCCGTTATTTCTGTCAGTATGAAGAACAGCTGAAGTACATCTGAATTTTAAGATATGTGTTAAACTTTGCAGAAAAAAAAAATCAGGGGAAAAGCACATGAGTTGCTTTCTGCATTACTTAATCAGTAACATATCTCAGGAATTCTGTAGCATGCAGGTATTGCAAACACCATAAGGGTGAACAGAATTACCCATGAAGTACAGAGTCTCTCCATTTAAACTTAATTTAAACTAAACAGAACTACTGAATTGCAGCACTTCTGGATATTTACTTATGGATGGAATTCACTTTTACATTTTGTAATGTAAAATTATTTTTGTGTTTAGGATGATGAGTCCTTCTGCTTGCATAACAGCAACAGTCCTCATTGTGAGAGAGATATAAACCGCAACTTTGAAAATGAGATTCTGCAGGAGAATGGCAATGCTTCAATTACACCTCAGCAGATCATTCAGACTTCAGCTTTCCCACAGGCAAACGTTCTTTCAAGCTCACTTGAGGCAGAGCATAGGTATGTACTGTATACAACATAGAGTGTTCTTTTATGGTAACTGATCTTACTGGTTCAGAAGTCACAATCTGAAAACTTGGAACACATAAAATGTTTCTTCAGTGACATAAAATTTATCTTTTAGACATGTACTAATTTAACATGAGATATACTTTGTTTCTTAGACCTGTGTACTGACTTAACATCCAATTTTTAAGTAAAGAAAGTTTATTTCTTAGTAAAAATATGGCAAACTACATAGTGACTTCATCTCTCTGGTTTTTATCTAGGTGTCTGGGAGGAAAAATGTGTGTAATTGCTATTTGTATTAAAAATACTTTAAATGCTGCATCTTATGTAAAACTTCAGTGAGCTTTTCATCGTTATTAAAGTAGTTAATTATTTTTGTAGCTGACTTGTTGACACTACTGGTGATACCACAAGACAGTCCACTGGAAGGTGAGAAAGTAATTTCATGAAAAGGATTGAAACAATTCTATTATCCCAGTATCCCAGTAATCCAACTGCAGTAGTATTTGGTAGATGTGAAAACGATGCTGCTGGATAATCACAACCCAGTCTTATATCAGATTCTTATGGTTTAGACAGATTTGTTTGGGGTTTATTTTTGGTGATAGAGTCTATATGTTGTACTAGACATCTCTTCATTTTGTTGTGCCTGTAGAAGAAACTTTCATTTCCTCTTACTCCTGCTGAGTATGAAGAGTGCAAAGCACCCTGCTCTGTTCCCTTTTTCTCACCATTGGCAACTTCACTGCCATAAGTGACACCAGGTGGGATGAGTTCTGTCACTGGAGTGTTGTGGATGGTGGCAGGCTCCCCAGGAGGTGCAGCCAGCAGGAGAGGTGGGGGAGTGGTGTTGTATCTAATGGATGGGGCAGAATATATGTAGCTTGTGGCTGGTGATGGCATGGTTAAGGGCCTCTGGATAAGGATTAAGGAGCAAACATAAAAAGCACATGTCATTCTTGGAATCCACTGTAGGCCACCCACCCAGGATGATACACTGACTGTCCTTTAAGGAGCTAAGGAAACCTCTAAATCAACTGCTGCTGTCCTAATGGGGGACATCAACTTGCCAGATATTAGTTTGGAACACCAAAAATAGAAAATGGTGTTTGCCGTTGTAGGGAGAAAATCTGTGACTTTCAGGAAGAGAGGATGTTCTTCATCCAGAGGAGAGCTGGGCACTGGAACTGGATTCCCAGGAGTGTGATCACAACACCAAGCCTGACAGAGTTCAAGGAATGTTTGGGCAGTATTTTGAGTCACAGGGTATGATTCTTGGAGTTGTTCTGTCCAGGACCAGGAGCTGGATGCCACATTCCTTGCGGGTCCCTTCCAACTCAGGATATTCTGGGAGTGTGTGAAATCTGTGACCACTAGAGGCTCATGATTTTTTGACTGGCAGATGAGAGTCAAATTTAACTCTTAGTTTTTCAGTTCAAATCACTTTAAATAGCCTTGTTAGGATTTCTGGGCAAACTGTCTCTCTCCCAGAGAGGCTGTGTGTCCATACTGGCACAGCGCTTTGTGAGCTCAGCATACATGTGGACAGATGTTATGGTTAGCCTTTTTGTGATAAATTGCACTATGGTTCACCACCTTAGCTCCCAGATTACTTTTGCATACCTGGTAAAAATACTGGCATGCTTGGTACAAAAAGGCTTCCTTCCTGCTGGGGAAGTTTCCAACATGAGGCAATCCTGTTGGTATCAAGGTGGCTAATCCAAAATAATTTTTTTATGTAGTTCATACTTCTAACCATTCTAGAATTATGTCAGTTTAAAGGGACAGTGGTGCTGCTAACATTACAGAATGTTGCTTTAAAGTTAGTTAGCTATTACCTTAAATTTTACTTACATTAACAGAAGCTTTGTAACTATTTACTTCACTGAATGCAGTGCTTATGTCTGAGCTTGCTTGCAGTAAAACTTAAAGTCAACTATCATTGAACTGCATTTAGCATTGTGTTTTTTGTACAGTGTATTCTCTTAGAGTTTTGGATGACTTGCATATATTTTTACTGCATCTGATGATTTGATTGTTCCTGCCTTTTATGCTTTCTGATTTGGTCCAAATGCAGTAGGGAATACAATTTCCGTTTCTGTTACTGCCCTACTGACTTTTTTTTAAGCAGAGTAATGCTTTTCTCCTTCTACAATTCCAGGCTTTTGTTATGGCTCTGAAAATGATCACTGGTGGCTTTGGTTCCCTGCAAAATTACCCAGTGCACATCCACTGTATTGGGATATAGAGTTCTTTGTGGGGAGGATTGTGTTGACAGACATTTTTTGCTTATATCTGCCTAGATGAAGTGCCTGGTATGTGGTGTCAGCTGTGAGTTTGTCTTACTATTTTAATATATTCACTGTTTTTTAGCTCTTAAATGTCAGTTCTGCCATACATTTCAGAAACCCCTTTGTTTTTTGTGAAATAGCTTTAGTCTACTTAATGTGGTTTACCTGAAGAAGGTGCTAATCCTTTTGGCAAAACCTTTGCAGAGAGCAAACTTAATAACTTCATTGTTAAATGTCACAGTATCTTCACCCTCAGATAAACCCTGTGTTCATACCATCTTCAAATGTAAAACCATTTTGTTCCTGCTCAGATACTGCCATTCTTCTTTAGGAACTAGCCAAAACATGCTGATGACTGCATCTTTGTATATCTCAAGCTTCGTTAGGAGAGGAGTCTCTTCTCCTCATTTCTTCCCCTTATCTCAAAATCCACTCCTAGCTGTTTGAGCTGAAAAACCAGCTTGTGCTGTGGGCCATGACTCAGCTGTGAAGAAGCTTGAGACGGCTCTTGACATTAGCATGTGATATAAAAAAGAAATCAAATGAGGCCATTGCATCCTGAATTGGTTTCCATCGAGGGACACCACCAATATTCCTTATGCCTTGCTCTGCTTTGTTACTGAGGAAAACCTGCAGAGTCCCTCAGTGTGTCTTTGTCTCTTTATACTGTTCTCAGGGGAGTGAATACATTGCTGCTTCACTGGCAGCACGTTTTAAGTTACATTAACAAAATACATTCTTACTGTTCTGACACAGATCTCTTGCCTTAGAATGAAAGTATAGTTTTTACCACATATGGTGGTAGAATAGGTCATCTTTGAGACCTGAGAACTCAGCTTCTCTGCTTTACGTACCTTTTACAAGGCTTTGAACTCACATAAGAGTCTGTTATAAAAAAATACTGGCTGATTAATCAATGCATTTGTTACAGGTCTTCAGATGTGTGTAGGCAGAGCTTGAAATGTTTGAGTGTGTGTGTGTCAAATTCCTGATGTTGTCCGTCTTAATTTAAAGGTTGTTAAAGGAGATGGGGTGGCAGGAAGACAGTGAAAATGATGAAACATGTGCTCCACTAACTGAGGATGAGATGAGGGAGTTTCAAGTCATTAGTGAAAAGGTAAGACTGAGTTAATTTTCCATTATAAACCTGTAGTTGGTTACCCTAGATCCTCCTTTTGAGGAGGATCTGCAGTAATTTTGATCATTAGAGATGTTGCTGTTCCACTACCATTTCAGTACTGTGCATTTGGAAGTATAGTTGCTTCCAAAAAATCAGGTACCAATGCTGACTGTAGCTCAGGCCTATTCACAAAGCATCAAGGGAAGGGTAGGGTGTACTTCTGGGTAGTTTTAAGTATTGTTGGTGGTAGAAGTGCACAGGCTTTAAAGCTCCTCAGCTTAGCCTAAGGAAAGAGAGTCTTCTTTCAAGGCTTTTGTGCAGTTTCTGTGCTACTCTGAGAACTGCATTTTCTTTTTTGGGACTTGAGAGACATTTAATTTACTAGTAGCAAAGTATGAAAAGGTAATCTAGATGTGATTTTTCTTTTTAAATTTTTTTTAAATTTATTTTTTAAATTTTGTTTTATTAGGAGTGTTGTGTATACCTGGTAGGGTCAGTGAGAAGGAGTCAGGAGAATAGTGTGTAGTACTAAATCTGAACATTTGGTAATTCCAGTATTATTGGAAATATTAATAATTTAATATTGGAATATTAAACTTTCAAGTGCTTGTCTTAGTGCACACATTCTGCGTGGTATTGAAAATGCAATAATTCCTTTCTTTTTTTCAGAATCAGCTGTTTCCTTTCTTCAGTGTCTTTGACTTTCCAATTGCTGAGATACCCATTCCTCTCTGCAGCATCTCTTCTGGGTCCCTTCCCTATTGCCCTTTGCCCTTCTTAGCACAGATGTTTGCAGCACTGTGGGAAAGGGGACTGGATTGCAGGGAGAGACCATTTGGGAGAAAGGATCTCTGGGGCAAGATGTGTGGGGACATGGGTGAGCACAGGGTGAGCTCTCATTGACTGCAGGAGTTCAGCACAACTGGAGACACTGGGATACAGGTGGCTGGCCAGAGGTGAAGGCTCGCAGGGGAGTTACCCTTTCTGTACATATGAAAAGCTGTGGATCCAGCGTAGCCCAGAGGTGAAGATGCAAAAAGTGTTGAACTGCAACAGATGGTTGTGTTTGGCATTTTCTTTCTCTAAATGTGTCATGTTTTCACATTTCAGTTACAAAAAAATGGCCTTCGGAAAAACGGCATTTTGAAAAATGGCCTCATCTGTAATTTTAAATTTAGCCCCTGGAAAAACAGCACTTTCAAACCTGCACTGGAGAATGAGGATTCTGAGACAAGCAGTAGTGATACATCAGATGATGATGATGTGTGAAGACTTCTGTAACGCCTGTAGAAGACTATTTGTTCTCGTGAAGATTTGGGGATGTTTTGTCCAAAAACAAAAATTGTAATTTATGTAGTAACATGCCCATTACAGGAAGAATAATGCGACTGTTCTGAAGGAAGCAAGTAATGTTTTGTTGGGTGTGTTGAAAATCACTATAATTTCTCTGTAAACGAATGTTGTAGAATGAGGCCTTGTGCTGACCCAGCGTTAACTTCCATCTCTGAAGCATTTCTGACTAGCAATGTGGCAATGTTACAAATCAGACTTTCTCACTTAATAATAAAAGCAAAGAATTGTGTAATGTCTTGCAAAGCTTCTGTCTTAAAATGTTTGAGGAAAAAAAGGGCAGCTTGACACAGTGTTTTGCTTGCCAAGTCATTTTTTCTTACAGTGGAAATCAATGAGTCCACTTTGTACACAAAAAGGGCAATGTAGCATGTTGGCTAAAATGAGCTAAGTGCACTAAAACTCTTCCTTAACTGAGTTGTTGGACTGTTTTACAAATACCTGCTCTTTAGCCATTTGTTGTGTTGTCGTTGTTATTAATGGCAAAAGACCCTGATGCTACAGTTCCAAATTTCTAGAATTAACTTTTAAATTGAAAGCTTTAAGGGGTATAGCAAGACCCTTATTCTCACAGTGACTTGTGGGAAAATAAGGAGTTTGATTTTACTATTCAGCATGTGGAACAATCATTACACTGACTGGATTTGTCCACTACATGGGAAATAAACTGATCTACAGAGTATTGTCTCAGTGCATAGCATCACGGGTATTGTTTTTAAAATAGCTAAGTTTGTTTGCTTTTATATTACATGTACTCTGGCAGCAATGCAGTTGTGCATTTCAGTGCAAGGTAAAAATACTTTCATCACCAGATCTTGCTTTTTATAGGAGCAGAAGTATATGTGTGCAATAACCACCTTTTTTGCTTACTCAATGTCAGATTTTTTCTTTATGATCTCACATTTAAAAACCAATATTGTATTATTTATAGTTTTATTTGGTTTATTTTAGTTCTTTAAATGTTCTCCACAGTTGTACAAGCTGTGTAGCATTAATTCATAAGCACAACTGCTCTTGGGGATGTCATATACGTTTATAATATAGCACATATGTATATACAGACATTTCCCTGTCAAGATGTTTTTGAATTCTACTACTTCTTATAGTAAATTATTTGCAGTTTAGAACTTGAAAGCAAAAATATTTATAAAGTTGAGATTCTGTCCATATTTCTTTGGGAAAATACTTTTTTTATAAGGTGGCCGAATCAATTTTGGGCCGAAGTTGGTATGTTTCTCTTTTTTATTTATTGTTAATTTAAATAGATATTTCTTTTCAAGAGGTCAGTTTCTGTATTAGAAGAGGCTTGCAAATGTTGGTGTAGTTAATTTTGGCATGGTGTATTGAAATACTTCATTTCTACTCTCAATTCAAGAGGATAAAAGTGTTTCTTTTTTAAAAAGTAAACTGCCATATCTGTAATCTTGTTTTTCCTAACTGCATGCCTTAAACACCTTTTTCCTTTCCCTCTCCTGAATTTTTTTTAATTAACTTTGACACACGGGTGTAGTTTGTTCACTTTTTGGTTTTCACATACTATAAACAGGATCTTCTGCCTATCTTAATTATATAGTGATGTGTGGATGCACTGTTTTAATAGTAAGTGAAAATGGTTTTTTCCTTCGCATTTCTCAAAGTGGGGTGTAGGCTTTCCCCCCTTTATTCAGTTTAGTAATAAATGTCACCTCAGTAATTAACTTTCTGAGCAGTTAATGTAATTATAGAAGAGCTGTGTTAAAATTGTATACACTTTGGAAATTTACAAGTTGCGATTGAGAGGAAGTAGGAGTACTAATCATACTTGGTACTTCTTCTTTGCTAGGTTATATGCTGAAACTGGTAATGGAAGCACTGATTATAATGAGCTGTGGGCAAAGCAGGTAGCAGGAATTGGGCAGTGGTTTTGCTTTGTAGAGTGAAACACTTCGTAACTTTTCTGTGTGTGGTTTCTTGTGTCTGCTGATACTTGTGGATTAATTTCTGGTTGGTTGTACCAGTTCAGAGACCCCTCAGAAGTCTGTGTGGCCCCTGGCTTAAGTGATCATCTGCCTGCCCTGTTACTTCTGTTCAGCCTTCACTGCAGTGTGGGAATGGGTGAGATTTGGTATTTCCACTGAGGAACTGGATTCCCTTATGTTATATTTGCTTATGATAAGCTGAGTAAAGTACCTGTCGTCTTCTGTGTCACCTTGAGAAACTCTTAGTCACTTACTGTGGGAACTCTTAGTTTTCTATTTTCCTGGGGAATGTCACTCAAAACAATGTTTGGTTTTTGTAGTATACTTCCATAAAATGTATGAAAGCATTTTATTGTATGGTTCCTCTTCCTTTTTTTCAGTGCTTGATGATGTAGAGAAGAACGAAATTGGATTCTCTAGTATTTAACAATGCAACTTTATCCATCTTTGACTTTGTTACTTTCCCAGGGCAACTTAAGTAGTGCATTGGCCTTTTTGTTCTCTCATACGTAAACCATAATCCACTCCCAGAATAAGTCCTCTCTTGTTTTTCTGCTTGAGCAGGTGTCTGTGTTAAAGGATTCATAAGTTGGTAACTAAGCTTGACCATTTCCTTCATGGGCCCTAGTAAGCTTTGGAGATACTTTGTCAGTGCTGGGCTGACAGAGCTTGACTTCAGTGGTAGTAATCACAGGTGGCTGCATGCAGACATGATTTGAAGTCACTACCATTTCTCTTCATCTTCCTGGCTTTATTGGTGGAGAACCATGTATTCCTGGTTCCCTGTTCCAACTCTCTTCAAAAGCAAACAGTAGTGATCAGTCTCTCACTGGTTTTTCTGATCTGCTGTTGATGGAGAATGTACTCTTTGCCTGCTGCTGGCATGGAGGGTGCCAGAGTTTATGGTGGGGAGCTGGGGATCCTTTACCTCATCCAGAAAGACCAGAGGCCTCCCTCACTGGCTTATACAGGGCCTTTCTCTCTCTTAAGGTGTGAGAGAAGCTAGGTGTCTTTGTTGAAAAGAGTGTTAAAACTACATTGAAGTTGTCCACTGATTCATGTTGGACCCTGTCAAGAGTCTGAGAATATTTTAATGGTCATACCAAGTCTTTGAGAAATGTCACCAAGTGTGAAGGAAATTAATTTTTATTCTCCTATGCAGTTGCCTGTGGGGGAAAATCATCTGCTTGGTTTGAGATGGGGACTTCAACTTTAGTGTTTCTTTTTAAAAGAATATCTATTTTTCAGTAAATGCATTTAAACTACTGGCTGCTAGAAACTGGAAGTAGAGTTTAGTTGAGGATGCCTTTGTTTATCCATTTTCAGTTTGCTGCTAGGCAGCAGCTGAGGTAATTTACTCAGCTGCAGGGAACTTTTGATGTGATTCAGATTATTGCACTTGAGCACCAAGGGTTACTGGCTCATTGGGATAATAAATGTGCTGAGTAGTTCGTTGTCTTTCCTCATGCTGTTGTTCTTGGTCATCAGTGAGTTTTATTGCAAACTGCATGAGGTTTGTTTTGTAGCCTGGATCACTCTGCAGCCTTCCTTAGAGGTACCTGGAAATGCATTTACTAAACCAGCACTGGCAGTGACCTGCAAAGCAGTCTGGCTCTGGATGGGGCACAGGGTAGTGTCAAAAACTCTCCTCTCTCAGGAGGTTTGCATTTCCTTGAGAGATTCATAAACAAATTCTGAGGTTTGTTTCCCATACTGGATTGTCATCTGGGAGAGATTTTCAGACTGAAGAAAAACTCATTCCTTCAAGCAGTGGGTCAGTGGAGCTTACTGCTGAGTTCAGTGTCCACCACAGTCTGCTTCCATCAGAGTCCCTTGTGCAGATCAGATCATCTGATAGATGTGGGAGGTCTCACAGGACCTGTAGCACCATGCATTCCTTAATTTCCTGAGAAGATACCTGACAGTAAGCTTGCTATGTAGACTTCATTCTTCTTGGATATTCCTAGTATGCAGCTATTTGTTTCCCTGGCACTAGTATGATTTTCATAGAGAAATGCCATTCCATACCTGCAGAACAAGTTCTCATTTAGTTTTGTCTTCTATGCAGATGAAAGATACAGCTTTGAAGTGAAAGAGTATTTTTGGTAAGTGATGATTGCTGATGTCTAGGCAGGCATCTGCTTAGCAGGCTGATGGAGCTTGGGTCAACATGGGAGAACTTGAGTTCCCCTTAGGAGATGTGGGGAGAGAACTCTTTCTATGAGTGCTAAGCAAGACACTACTAAGTTTCAGCTTGGGAAGCAAAGGGAAACAAACCCCTTTCATTCTGCCCGGAAGTATCACATTTGAGAACTGTTGCTGGAAATTCCACGTGCTTGAGAACATGGACCAGCCTGGTGGCCTGAGCTATTTCGTTTTACTAGTTTAACAGGCTGGTGGTGTGCTGTCCTGAGTTGTGATATTCTAAGCCCATAGGTTCAGAAACAGAGCTGTGCATTAGGTACAAGCCAGGGCTCCTGGCTGGTTCTGAACCCAGAGAGTACCTGGTGTTGCCTCAGTGTTACCACAGCTGTGTTGGGGAAGGTGGTGCAGTGTTTCCTCCAGTCAACTACTTGTTGTAGCCAGTAGAGGAGATGGTGGGCAGCTCTGATCCAGCTTACTCCAGCATGGTGGCTTTAGTACTGTGGCTTCCTTATTCCTTTTCTATGATAGCTTCAAGTCTGGGGGCTCTGTGCTATTGTAATTCTTGTGTATTCTATCTCCCATTGCTTTCTGCTGAAGACTGCTGAAGCAGAACCATCTTTAGCAAGTCAAGGAGCCTCCTGTCTGGGCTTAAGTGACTGCATCATGAATAGGTGAAAAAGAGAGCTTTGAGTTCTTTAGCATACATGTGCACACACAGTGTAGCATAGATGTGTTCTATTAGAATTTGAATGTAATACGAGGGGATATTGTAGAATTGTTAGCAGT